CATGGTGGTGCGTGCCTGTAATCCCAGCTACTCAGGAGGCTGAGGCAGGAGAAGTGCCTGAACCCAGGAGGCGGAGGTTGCGGTGAGCCGAGATCGCGCCATTGCACTCCAGCCTGGTCAACAAGAGCGAAACTCCGTCTCAAAAAAAAAAAAACTCACCAGTATGTCAGATACCCCTGTGCTTTGGCATATCATATGCAAATTTGGTAATATCTCCTTTTCTTTGCTCTATGCAGCATTTTATAGATTCATTGTTCTTTCATATAGTCATGTGCCACATAATGATGTTTCAGTCACCTAGTGACATTGTAGCTATGTAATAGCTTAGTGCAATGCATTATTCATGTGTTTGTAGTGATGGTATCAGCAAACACTTTAAAAATAAACTGAGGCCGGGCGCAGTGGCTCACGCCTATAATCCTAGCACTTTGGGAGGCCAAGGCGGGTGAATCACGAGGTCAAGAGATCAAGACCATCCTGGTCAACATGGTGGAACCCTGTCTCTACTAGTAAACACAAAAATTAGTTGCGCATGGTGGTGCGGGCCTGTAGTCCCAGCTACTCGGGCAGCTTAGGCAGGAGAATTGCCTGAACCCAGGAGGTGGAGGTTGCGGTGAGCCGAGATCCCGCCATTGCACTCCAGCCTGGGTAACAAGAGAGAAACTCCATCTCAAAAAAATAAAATAAAATAAATAAACGTGATGTAGTCAAAGTATACAGAGTTTATCAAGTCTACAGTAGTATAACGTCTTCACATTCACTCTTCACTCACTGAGTCACCCTGAGCAACTTCCAGTCCTGCAAACTGCATTCATGGTAAGTGTCCTGTACGATTTCTATCTTTTATGCTGCACTTTTACCATATTTTTCTATGTTTAGACACACAAATACAGCACTATGCTACAAATGTCTACTGTATTCAGCTCAGAAGCATGCCTAGGGGCAACAGACTATACCATCTAGCCCTGGTGTGTAGTAGGGTGTACCATCTAGGTTGTGTGAGTACATTCTATGATGCTCGCACAGTGACAAAATCACACAACAGCACATTTCTTAGAATATATCCTTGTAATTTATAGGACTGTAATTGCTATCTGCTGTTTTTCAAAAACAATTCTGCAAATAGGAGGATAGGTGAAGAAACTGGGGCCTGAGAAGGTCAGTGTGCTGATAGATGCCAGTGGTGTCATGTCACCAAGTCAGCGCACCCGTTCTCCACTGGCATGTCACCAAGTCAGCGCACCCGTTCTCCACTGGCATGTCACCAAGTCAGCGCACCCGTTCTCCACTGGCATGTCACCAAGTCAGCGCACCCGTTCTCCACTGGCATGTCACCAAGTCAGCGCACCCGTTCTCCACTGGCATGTCACCAAGTCAGCGCACCCGTTCTCCACTTGCCAGGAAGGTCAGTGCACCCGATTCCTCATTATCTTGAGCACTGGCTGCTAATGGCTCACAGTCATCACCTTCTCTGAATAATTGTCCCTGGACGAACAGAGATAATCTACGGTCTCCAGGAAGCCTTCAAGGTACAAAAGGTTGGCCCCTTGCCTCAAGGATAAATTTTGTTCCAAAAATCCTTCTTCCAAATTAGACCAGTCTTAAGCTCAGAACACAGCTTGCTCAGCCCATTTCCTCTTCCATATCTTGCTTCCCTCTCTGCTTTGCTTTTTTCCTGCAGCTTACTTTGCTCCCCAAAATTCCCTAGACTTGAACCCATGCCTAGGCTCTACTTCTAGGAAACCCAACCCAAGTGATTTATCCAAGGTCCAAACTTTAGAAGTGATTAGGCATGGACTCCTTAACAGGGGTCCCGACTCCTGGTCCACTCTTTTTTTACTATACCATGTAGTATTGAGACATACAAAAAAAGAGAAGAGGCTACTTTATCATTTAAATGTTTGAATTTTAACTCACTCAAGATGATTAATGTCATCAGTAATAACTAATTCCCATAATATTTCTGTTTGGTATAGGAAGATATTATAATTAACATTTCTGTCAGAAGATCCTGGAGTTTATCCTTTAAATCTACTATGGCACAAAAATTCTTCTTAGGCTTCCCTACAATGTGTAAAACTTTTTCCTGATTCAAAAAGAGAAATGGGTGTCAGTTCAAGCTGATATTCTGTGGAGTTTTTAGGTGATACTGAGTATTAGGTAATTTATTTTCCCTCTGATGGGAAAGTGTTGCTAAGGGTTTTGACTCAGAATCCAACTTCCTTGGCCACTCATTCAGTGGAGAAACAAGAAAAAAGGTAGAGACTTGGATCGAGAGAGGACACAGCCACCAGATCTGCTTAATGTTCTCAAGCTGAATCAAGTTTTAAGTTTACTTCAGTTATCCAAAGGAGTAAGGGGGAGGGGGAGGCATAAATGAATCAAAATAGGCTACGAGTTGATAACTGTTGAAGATGGGTGATGAGTTTGAGGACTAAGCTCTGATTTTTATCTTGCCTGAATTCCTAGCTAAGGGGTCTAGGGCGTCATGATCTACAAACCATAACTTCTCATCAGACTGGTTTTATTTGACCCTATATATTGTGATTTACTTTTCAATCTGACTCTGGCATAACATTGTGAGACGAGGAAAAATATTTGACCCCAAAACGTATTTCCTTCCTATACCCTGATATTGCCCTACAAAGTCTCTTGTGGGAAAAATCACATTCTATAGAGAATCCCCATCCCCCTTTTGTTTCCCCTCCCTTCTTTCCAGATCCAGGAGATAATCAACTAGGAACCAGGCACCCTTTTAGGTCCCATAAGAAACATTTCACAACCTGCTCTCTCTCTCTGACGTCTGCTACCTGGGATTCCTCTGCACAATAAAACTTGGTCTCCACATTTATTTTAACCTAAACATTCCTTTCCATTAACCCCACATCCTCAGATAAACTCAACAAATTGTCAACCAGAAAATGTTTACATTTACCTGTAGCCTGGAAGCCCCTGCTCGGAGTTGTCCCATCTTTCTGAACCAACCCAATGTATTTCTTCGATGTATGTGACTGACATCTCATACCTCCCTAATATATATAAATTATTATTATATTTAATATAATAATTATGTATAAATATATTGTAACCCAACCACTCTGGCCACACGTTCTCAGGACCTCCTGAGGGCTGTCACAGGCCATGGTCACTCGTATTTGGCTCAGGATAAATGTCTTCAAATATTGTATAGAGTTTTGATTCTTTTTGTCAAGAAGTCATGGGGGTTCACTATGGTATTCCACTTCTGTTTGACTCTTTTCCATAAAAGTTATACAATCCGAGTTGGCTGCTCAGCAACACATTTAGAAGTTACTGAAAACAGTGTAAAGCTCTAACTGTGTGTGGACTTGTCCTCAGCAAATTGGAGCATTTTCCCATCTCTCAGGAAACCTCTGAACATTAGGTCAAACAGATGAAAGAGATGGGTTGCAGCTTAGGAATCATAAAAGGAAGTAAGGGAGGACAGGCAAAGAGAGCCTTGGGGAACCTCAAGCCTCAAGTCTTTAGTCCTAAGAAGGGGAGATTTCTCCTCTCCATGAGTAAACTTCACGGAGAAAGAGCCTCCTTTGAGGCAGAACACAAGGCTATGGTAAGCCTTGTCTGATTTTTAAAAAAATTTGTTGATGCAGGCAGTGTAATTGATTTTTCTTAACAGAAAAGGTTTCTGGTTTTTTTTGTTGGTGGTGGTGATGTGGTTTGTTTTTTGAGATTGAGTCTCACTCTGTTACCCAGGCTGGAGTGCAATGGCATGGTCTTGGTTCACTGTGACCTCCCGTCCCAGGTTCAAGTGATTCTCCTGCCTCAGTCTCCTGAGTAGCTGGGACTACAGGTGAGTGCCACCACATCCAGCTAATTTTTGTATTTTTAGTGGAGATGGGGGTTTCACTAGGTTGACCAGGCTGGTCTTGAACCTCTAACCTTGTGATCTGCCCTCCTCAGCCTCCCAAAGTGCTGGGATTAGTCGTGAGCCACTGCGCCTGGCCTGTTTTTTGAGACAGGGTCTCTCTCTGTGGCCAGGCTGGAGTGCAGTGGCATGATCCCTGCAGTCTCAACCACTTGGGTTCAAGTGATCCTCTCACCTCAGCTTCCTGAGTATCTGGGGACGATAGGCACACACCACCACACCCAGCTATTTAAAGTTTTTTTTCTAGAAACAGTGTCTCACTACTTTGCACAGACTGGTCTTAAAACTCCTGGCCTCAAGCAATACTGCTGCCTTGGCCTCCCAAAGCTGTGGAGTTACAGGCTCGTACCATCACACCTAAGGTAAAATAGTGTTTCTTAAAGATCTATACAGGGAAGATATTTTTTCTCTAGACTTTTTTTTCCCTCTAAGCCAAGCAAACAGAAGAGAAAGACTGAGATTTCAGACAGTAGCTAGCATCTTATTTGGATTAATCCAGTTCTCCGATGTGGCCTGGTACTCAGGATACAGAAGACTTTCTAACACTGAAGATGTGTTAGAAAAACTCTTCAGGGACTTGCAGGTGACTAAACTTAAATGGAGAAATCTGATATCAGTGTGAAGCATGACATCGTAAAGAAACTGGGATTTGGAGTAAAAAGCCAAGGTTTAACTAAAAAGGTGGGATGTTATAAGAGAACATTAGGGGAATCTAGGTGAAAGAAATATGAGAACTTTATCTTTGCAGCATTTCTGTAAGTCTAAAATTATTCCAAAATTAAAGCATTACTAAAAATAAAAGTTCAGGGTTTCAGCCTTGGCTCTGATGCTTGGATTTTCTGAGCCTTAGATTCCTCATCTGTAAAATGGGATAATGACACTGCTCATTTCCCTGTGTGGCCGGTAAGCAAATGGACACACGGCAGACACTGAAGCACACAGCCCATGCTGGTCACTTTCCAAGGGAGAGTCACGTTGGTGTCAGAGGGAAGCAGTAAGGTGGAAAAGGTGTTTATACTACAAACCAAAGACCCATTTGTTATAAACCATCAGTAGAGCTTTGTTAACCTTTGGAGTTAAACACAGACACCAAATATTTCAGGCATGTTAGCTCTAGCAGGCCATTTATTACATTATTAGAAGGGTTTCGCAGCCATCTTAAAAATAATAATAAAAAATAAGAGGGACACAGCTCATAATAATAAGGAGGTATAATGAACAAAAGGGAAAACAGTAGCTTCAAACACCCAACTTTCCTTTTAGGAAGTCCCAGGGCCATAGGAGAAAGGAAAGGAGAGGCATTTTCTAGCCTTAACCTACTCCACACGACTTGGCTGCTGATCTGGAAAACTTGCTCATAGCAAGTCCTAGACCAGCTCAGCCACTGTGTGGATCTTCTGATGGCGAATGAGGTTGCAGTGTCGATTAAAGCTTTTCCCGCATTCAGTGCACTGGTGAGGCCGCTCCCCCGTGTGGCTTCTCTGATGTTCAATGAGAAATGAACGCCGACCGTAGCTCTTATTGCACTGGTTGCACTGATACGGCTTTTCTCCTTTGTGGATTCTCTGATGCTGGATGAGACCTGCACTCTGACTGAAGGCCTTCCCACACTCCTTACAGTGGTACCGTTTCTGTATATTGTGGATTCCTCGGTGATTAAAAAGACCAGAACTCCGACTGAAGGCTTTCCCACACACATTACATTCATAAGGTCTTTCTCCAGTGTGAATTCTTTGATGTCGAATGAGACCTGAGCTCTGAGTAAAGCTCTTCCCACATTTATCACATTTGTGCTGCCCCTCTCCTGAGACATTTCCCCACTGCCTCTGTATCCTATCCTTATGTTCACCAACTTGTCTATGTGGGAGATCCTGCTGTGATACCTCCCAGGTCTGCTCATTAAACATTTTCCCATGTGGTTCCACTATCTTAAGACAGTCTTTCCTTAGCACCAACTCTCTGTCCTCAGTCTTGGTCACCTCATCTGAAACAAAGAAAAAGACTAGGTAAATGTCACTTGTTCCCTGAGCCTATGGGTAAATGACTATGTCTATAAAAATACATCATAGAAAAGCAAGTGGGCTAGAAACAGAAGGGCCAGTGTGGTAACACCTTCCCCAAGGTAAGGAGGAAAGTTTGCCCTCTTTTGCAAAACATAGGTCAGTCCATCCCCATGTAGACTTGGCCTGGGGAAGTTTTTTGTTTTTGAGACAGAGTATTGCTCTGTAACCCAGGCTGAAGTTCAATGGTGTGATCTCAGCTCACTGCAGCCTCCACTTCCTGGGTTTAAGTGATTCTCCTGCCTGAGCCTCCCAAGTAGTTGAAACTACAGGCACATGACCCCCAAACCCAACTAATTTTGTATTTTTGGTAGAGATGGGGTTTCACCATCTTGGTCAGGCTGATCTCAAACTCCTGACCTCAGGTGATTCACTCACCTTGGCCACCCAATATGCTGGGATTACAGATGTGAGCTACCATGCCCGGCTGGCAGTATTTTTTTATACTTCTTCATGGGAAGAGATGGGTAAAGATCAGGCTGGCTTCTCTGGAGTTTTCACTTAGACCTGTCTCTCCTTCCTGAGATTACCTCAAAGTAACCCTTTCCAAGGTAAGTTACTTCATGTACTCATTCATTCATTTTCAGAACAAGTATGAAACATCTACTGTTCCAGGTGGTCTTCAGGCAGTACAGTAGTCCCCACTTAACTGTGGTTTTGCCTTACGAAGTTTCAGCTATTCACAGTCAACCACAGTTCAAATATACTAAATGGAAGATGCCAGAAACAAACAATTCCTAAGTTTTAAATTTGGCACCATTCTTAGTGTGATGAAATCTCATTCCATCTGGCTCTGTCTCACCCAGGACATGAGTCCTCCTTTTGTCTAGCATGTCCACACTGTACATGCTGCTTGCCTGTTACACACCTACTAGCCATCTGGTTACCAGACTGACTGTTGCAATGTCACAGTGCTTATGTTTATATACCCTTATTTTACCTAACAGTGGCCCCAAAGTGCAAAGGTAGTGAGGCTGGCATATTATTATAATTGTTCCACGTTATTATTATTGTTGTTTATCTCTTACGATGCTTAATTTATAAATTAAACTTTATCTTAGGTATGCATAGAAAAAAATAGGATACCGGGTTCAGTATTATCCTGGGTTTCAGGCATCTATTGGGGGTCGTGGAACGGATCCCCCTTGAATAGTGGGGACTACTATCTTTACGACTTTCAAATCTACAGTTATCCAAGGTGTACTCCCGTCATAAGACCTTTGCTCTAGTGCCTCCCGTCGTGAGACCTGACCTTGCTCTAGCGCCTCCCGTCGTGAGACCTGACCTTGCTCTAGCGCCTCCCGTCATGAGACCTCTGCTCTAGCGCCTCCCGTCATGAGACCTCTGCTCTAGCGCCTCCCGTCATGAGACCTCTGCTCTAGCGCCTCCCGTCATGAGACTTGACCTTGCTCTAGCGCCTCCCATCATGAGACCTCTGCTCTAGCGCCTCCCGTCATGAGACCTCTGCTCTAGCGCCTCCCATCATGAGACTTGACCTTGCTCTAGCGCCTCCCGTCATGAGACCTCTGCTCTAGCGCCTCCCATCATGAGACTTGACCTTGCTCTAGCGCCTCCCATCATGAGACCTCTGCTCTAGCGCCTCCCGTCATGAGACTTGACCTTGCTCTAGCGCCTCCCGTCATGAGACCTCTGCTCTAGCGCCCCCCGTCATGAGACTTGACCTTGCTCTAGCGCCTCCCATCATGAGACCTCTGCTCTAGCGCCTCCCGTCATGAGACTTGACCTTGCTCTAGCGCCTCCCGTCATGAGACCTCTGCTCTAGCGCCTCCCATCACGAGACCTCTGCTCTAGTGCCTCCCGTCACGAGACCTCTGTGCTAGTGCCTCCCATCATGAGACCTTTGCTTCTCTCTTGCTGGAAAGCTCCCACCTCAAATGAAAGCAAGGCCCTGTCTCTCTCACTTCCTTCAAGGCTTTGTTCAACTCACCTTCTCAATGGGTCTACCTGAATTCTTCCATTTAATAGCACAATCTGTTTCCCTTATCCACAGTACTCTTATCTCCCTTATCCTGTTCTATTTTTGCCATATTCTGTAACCTCATCACCTTTGAACACACTGTATCATCTCTTTATTTTCGTGTTTATCATTCTCTCCCTCTTGCTACAATCCAATCTCTAAGAAAGGATCCTTGTTTTATCCCTGAGAATCATGCCTGGCACATAGTAGTTGCCAAAAAAATATGTGTTGAAAGAACATATAAAAGGGAAAGGACTGAAACCAATTCTATGACTATGGCCTCAATGGACTGGCCCCCAGAACTGGCATGTGGAGCAAAGGCTGCCCCATAGGACTGATCCATACTGAATTGTGTCCAGCCAACCCCATCAAACCCTTTCTGCTTGGAGGAGTTGAAAGTAAGAATGGAGAGAAACAGACCCACACTGTCTACACACTAAAGAGCAGCTGCTATGGTATCCTTAGAATGTCTTGGGTTTCCCAGGTCTGACTTCACTTTGCAACATAGAAAACGCCAAGGATAACAGAGCCATCCTTCTTCTTTTGACAAAAATATCTGCTTCTTTCTCCTACGTCTGCCCTGTCTTTCACACACCAGAATAGGTAGGCGTGTGGGAGACTTAGGACTCCTCTGTTGTCAGGCCATGGCTCTCCTCCTCCTTTTAGATGGGGGATCACAACAGGTTTGGAAAGTAAAAATGTGTCTGTAGAGAAGAGATGGGCCACAAGTGGGATCAGTACTGCCCTTTTGCTTAAACTTCATATTCAATCTGAAATGTACGAGGGAGCCAGGTAGAATATAAAAACTTGGACATTTCCCACATTTTATTACTGTTTATACAACTTTCATGACTTACAAAGCACTTTCAGATACATTATCAAAATGACTCACCACAGAACTCCTTGATGTTATCATCCCATCTCTTTAAAGAACTATAGAAAAATTTGGGAAGATACATACATGTATGGGTAGACAGACTATATAGAGAAATGTCTGGAAAATACACAGCAAAGTGACAAGAGTAGTTACCTCAAGGGAGTAGGATTTGGAGAACTTTCATTTGTTACTATATAAACTTTTGTATTATTTAGATTTTTAAAGAATCAGCAAAACTTAAACAGAAACTCAAACTTACCTATTAAATATTGCTTGGCTAACAAGTTGAAAAGCTGGAACTTAAACTTGGTCTTTGTAATTTCAAACATATGTTGTTTTATAATATTGGTTTTCCCTAAATTTGTAACACATACCTGCACTGATACCTTGGAGGGAGAACTCTCCAATCTGGAGATGCCCTCTGGATACTCCCTGACAGCCACAGCAGATGTTTTACAAACATTTGTTGAATGGATAGATGGATGAGTGGACACAGGTGGACAATTTAGATGTGCTTCTTGGAAAAGGGGGTTCTCAGCAGGGTTCTAGAGGTACTTTGGAAGGCAGAAGAGAGGAGGTGGCTAGAAAATAAAAGGTCCAAGTTCACAGAGAGAGGAAGAAGAAACAAAGAAATTGACTGGAAAGCAGCTCATTAAGAGGGAAAATTGCATGAGGAGCAATTTTAATCTGATAAAGTCGTGGGAGCTATAGGAAGGTCTGTGCTGAATTTACTCAACACATACACTTTACTTTAAATCAGGAGATGTGTTCCATGTCACAGGAATCCACAACCGCTAGCGCAGATGAAATCAACGAAGCTAGAGACAAAGAGGCAAAGGGAGTTGCACCTTTGATGCATACGGGGTAATGTGAAACTGGAAAGAGCAGAACTTCACTAAAGATTGTCAGAAGATTAACAAAGAGTCAGTAAGAGGGTATGATTTTATATGTGGAAAATTTGGCAAGCCGGAGCCAATTCCCGCAGGGAGAGCTAGAGTTGGAAAGCAGCTGACTCAGTCCCAAGTGCTCGGTACTATACCCACAAGGGTGGCTACTACCCCCACTCAGAAGATTAGAGAAGAAAACGGCAAAGTGTGATTTCATTGGATTTTCCCATACATTCTGCCACTTACTAAGCATATCTCCTATCTTTCTACTCCAAGTATGAGCCCAAATCAGCAAGGGTGGCAATGGTGCTTTGTGACAATAGCGACCATGTATTAAGCATAATGCATGCCAAGTGCTTTTCATAAACTGTTTGCACTTGATGCTCACAATGACTTTCTGAGGTACATACTGGTTATGGACCAAATTATATCCCCTCACGTATGTTGAGGTCCTAACCCTCAATATGATTATATTCGAAGATACAGCCTTGAAGGAGGTATTAAAAGTTACATGAGGTTATAAGGTAGGGCCCTATCTAGTAGGACAGGTACGTCTTTATAAGAAGATGAGACACCAGAGCTTGCTCTCTCTCTCTATGCACACAAAGGAAAGGCCATGTGAGGACACAGCAAGAAGACAGCCATCTATACGCCAGGAAGGAACCCCACCAAGAACTAAACCTGATGGCATCTTGATTCTTAGACTACTAGCCTTCAGAAACGTGAGTAAATACATTTCTGTTGAAGACACCCAGTCTGTGGTACTCTCTTAAGGCAGCACAAGGAAACTAAACCAAAGCTATTATCAACCCCATTTTGTAGATGAGGGATCTGAGGTCAAGTGGTTCAGTAATCTGCTCAATAAAGGCAGCTTCCATGAGGCAAGGCCAGGATCTGAACCTGTCAAACCTTAAAGTCCATTCTCTGAAGCTGTGCTCCACAGTGATCCCTAAAGCCTTCCTAATTTACCATGCCTCAGAACTCCAGAGAGCTTCCAGGATGGTACTCAGGGAGAAGGATCAAAAAGGAGCACACTAGGTTCTCAAAAGCACTGAACATTGCTGTTATCTGGATCTCCCATCTCCCCAGCTCTGCGTTTATTGTTTGTTTTTGCTTGACCAGGTGAGATTCGTTCAACATCAAATAAATCCTGTCCCTCACCTGTCTCTCCAATAGAATTGCACTTCTGAGCAGAGTCACATGTGAGCTGGGGTTCCTTAGGCTGGGACTGAAGGCTCAGTAACGTCTGCTCTGCTAGAGGCACCATCTCTTTAGAGAGGACTTCTTGTCTGTGTCTGTGGGCTACCATCTGGGGACAAAAAGACGAGATTTGACTTTTGAAGAAATTAACTGTCTGAAATAAACACTTCCAAGAAAGAAGAACACAGGAAGAAGGTATTTTATTACCAACATCAAGGAGATACAAAGCAGATACAAGGATGCTTGGCATCTCAAAGTAGACCCTTTTCTCCAGCAAATGTCCCTTCCTACCTCATGCTGTGGTTCATCGAGCTCTCTCTCCAGGTCCTCCAGCAAAATCACAGCCTCCTCTCCACTCTCTGGACAGTGTTCCCTCACCCAGCCCTGGAGCTCCTTGGGCAGGATGGACAGAAACTGCTCCAGCACCAGCAGATCCAAAATCTGCTCCTTTGTGCTCACATGTGGCCTCAACCACTGGTAGCAAAGTTCCTGGAGTCGGGTAAGAGCCTCCCTTGGTCCAGGGGTCTCTTGGTAACACAGCTGTCGGAAGTGCCTTCGGAAGATTTCCCTTGCTAGTGGATTACTGCGTTTCAGCCTGGATTCCTGCCTTTGGAAGTGACTTTTTGCTTCCACTTTCATTGTCAGAAGTTCTTCCCATGCCTCAGGAACTTGAATACCCAGGGATAAAACCTCCTTTGAGTTTGTATTCATCTTGACCTTGAACAGCTTAAAAGGTACCCTCCAGCTGGAGCTATGCTTCAAGACACACCAGAGGTGCCTGCCTAAGCAGTAAAAATAATTATTTATACAGAAAAATGGCAATAGCTGATGACAGAAACTGGTAATATAAGCAATTATCACAGACCCTAAAGCTCTTCACTGAAAAGTGGCATAGTAACCAAAGGATGGAAATAATGGTACTATATACATTCATAATGTGCAAAAAGCATAGGCTTTCAAGTTACCCAGATGTGGGTTTTCTTTCTTTTTCTAAAGATGGGGAATTTCACTCTGTTTCCCAGGCTGGAGTGTAGTGGCATAATCATAGCTCACTGCAACCTCAAACTCGTGGGTTTAAGCGATCCTCCCACCTTGGCCTCCCAAAGTGCTCCCGAACTGCTGGGATTACAGGTGTCTGCCACCACGCCTGGCCCAGACCTAGGTTTTATTCTGATCCTAACATTTACTAATTGTGTGACCTTCTGCCAAGTTTTTAAATCATCCTTCAATCTTGGTTTATGTGAAAAATAAATAGCAATAATACCTTACAGAGTTTACGGAGGAAAACAGCCCATGAATTAGGGACTGCACAGGTAACTCAGAAAGGCTGAATAAAAAGTCTGAACTCACTGTATAAACATCAAATTAGAGAAAGAATAAATGGGAATGTTGTTATTGTTGACTAAATGAATGCGCCAACATTTACCTTACTATTTACTTCAGTGTTCTTAATCTTCAAAACAACCATTTAAAGTTGGCATTGCTTTCACTAAATTTACAGAAAGAAAGGCTTAGGTGGACTGTCCTGTGAGCTTTCCACACTGCCCTGGTGCTACTGAAGAGTAACAGTCAACACTGCACCAGTCTACAATATGCTTTCAGGTGCAAGACCGTATTTAATCCTCACAATTACCCACTCAGGTTTTATTATGGTAATTATTTCACTAGATAAGAGATGGAAGCCAGGGAAAGGTAAGTAGACTGCCCAAGGTCAACTTCTTTGTGAGGATAATCTTAAGAAGCCAAAGAAGCCCAAGGGAGAAGTTTTCTCCTCAGACCCAGGCAGCTCCTGAAACCCAGGGGATGTTTCTAAAATGGGTGCCTCCAAAACGTCAGGAAGCAGACCGCGCAGCCGGGGGATCCCAGCCTGACAGGCCCTATGGCAGACGTCCGGGGAATCCGAACTGGGCGTGGAGAGAAGTGCAGCGAGCCCTAGAACATCCACCTTTCACAGGCGCCTCAGTGATCTGTACGTATTGTAAAGTTTGAGAATCAAGGAATTGAGGAAAAGGGAATGAGGAACTGTTACATTCTGCACTTGAAAACCAGTCCATTCAACGCCCCTCAAGTTGCTTTTAGAATCTAGAGGTGAGAGGGTATACAGGGCTCTCCATCTTTTCCTTTCTTTTTTTTTTTTTTGAGCCTTGTTGCCCAGGCTGGAGTGCAATGGCGCGATCTCGGCTCACCGCAACCTCCGCCTCCTGGGCTCAGGCAATTCTCCTGCCTCAGCCTCCTGAGTAGCTGGGATTACAGGCACGCACCACCATGCCCAGCTAATTTTTTGTATTTTTAGTAGAGACGGGGTTTCACCATGTTGACCAGGATAGTCTCGATCTCTTGCCCTCGTGATCCACCCGCCTCGGCCTCCCAAAGTGCTGGGATTACAGGCGTGAGCCACCACGCCCGGCCCAGGGCTCTCCATCTTGCGGACTCCCAAAGCCCTAGTAATCCTTAACTTCCTCTCCCGAGACTTTCTTCCCCGAGTTCTAATCCTGTGGTCGTTACTCACGGAATTGACCTTTCAGCCTCGCCGTCCTCCCATAACCCTCTCTCGTGTAACGTCCCCACAGTCGGGGACGACCATTATGGACGAGGGAACCCCCGAAGCCGCGCGACACTAACCGCCGCCCCCTCCTCCGGCTCCCACTTCCCGGAGGCTGAAGTTCACTTTCGATACCCCTTTCCCAGCGCCACGTTCCGCGACCCGCCTCCATTCCCGGTCCCCACGGCCAACTCACGAGACCCGGAAGGCGCGAGGAGCGAGCGGGGGTTACCGGTCCGGCGTTGCTAGGAGCTCCGCACGAACAATGGCCTGGCGGGAAAGACGCCGACCCCTCCTGGAGCGCGGACCTGCCAGACGCACTTCCGGGCCGGTCTAGGCCTCCGCGTCTCGATGTCCCGCCTCCGGCGTCCACGTCACCTCTGGCTCCACCCCCATTTTCCTGGCGTCCAGGTCTTCCTTGGCGCGAATCACAGAATCAGAGGGTCTTAAGTGTGGGGCCGCACGCGGGTTTTAAGCGGAAAACGTTGATGAAGCATAGGCCGTTAAGTATTGAAAACGCGGATGTAAAGCATTTCTAAAATGAATGCCTTTCTATGGTTTGAAAAACCCCTCAGTCAATACCCAAATTATTAAAATGTCAGACCCCCCACCCCTCCTTAGTCCCAGTCCCTAAGGCAGCCACTGTCCCCGGTAGCGATGCCGGGCCCGGGTCGCCATCCACCGGGGGAGGAAGAGCGGCCTTCCCCGGAGCTCAGGGCCGCTCTGGAGCGAGAGGCCGCCGGGAGAGCCGGAGCCCCGCGGAGCCCCGCGGAGCCCGCGCCGGGGCTGATTCTCCGCCTGGGAAAGGACCGCGCAGCCGCAGATCCACGGAGCCCTGAACGCCGTCACCTTCTGCTGGTACGAGCAGCTGCTCTGGCGCCTCTGGAGGAAATACGGGGGCCCCTGGCGCCCTGACGAAGCACCGCAGGGCCCCGGCGTGCACACCGGAGACGGCGGGCCGGGGGCCGGCGCCGAGCGGACTGTCCGTGGCCGAGTGCCCGGGGACCCGGGCGTCCGCGCTCACCCCTCGGGCGTCCTGCCGGGCTGGGAGGAGGGAGCCGCGGAGGTGCCGGACCTGGGTGGCGGCGGGGGCTGCGGGCCCCGAGCTGGACGGGGAGGTCAACGGCAGTTCCAGCCCCGACGGCAGGGCTCGCGCCCATTGGAAGCCAGGGCAGCGCCCGGTCCAGCTCCCCCGCCATGCTTTGGCCAATCGCCCAGCCCACCTCCATCCCCTGCCCCGCGCATCCATCACCCTCTCCGTGGACTCCGCCTAGAAGAAGGAGCGTGGGGCGGGGAAGGCGGCCGGCGGCCACCACGGCGGCCTCTCCCAGTCTCTGCCTCCACCCCGCTTCATCCCGGCCCACCCGGCCCCGCAGTCCCAGCTCTTGCCCAATGCCCAGGAGTTCACGTACGAAGGTGGTGGCTCGCCCAGTTTCTTCTCTGATGGCGCCAATGGCCAGGGCAGTGGCACCGCAGCCCACTTTGGAGGCAGTGGGGCTGTCACCGGCAACCGCAGCAGCTTCTACCTGGCCCAGGTATTTGGAGGTGCTGCCAACCGCCTCCTCCTGGAGAAGCCGCCCTTCATTGGAAGGCCTCGGCTACAACCTGAACACCATGGAATATCCTAGTCAGCTGTTCCACCCCGCAGTGCTGGCCACCTGACCCTCTACCTGCTCTGGGGCCGGCAGCACTCAAGACCACCGAAAAGAGGAAGAAGGCCAGGAGCGGGTTGCGGGGGGGGGGCTCATTCCTGTATTCCCAGCAGTTTGGGAGGCAGACCCATCACAGGGTCAGAACCCAGCAGTTTGGGAGGCGGGCAGATCACGAGTTCGAGACCAGCCTGGCCAACGTGGTGAAACTCCGTCTGGTGAAACCCCGTCTCTACTTAAAAAAAAAAAAATACAAAAAATTAGTCAGGTGTGCTGGCAGGTGCCTGTAGTCCCAGCTACTCAGGAGGATGAGGCAGGAGAATCGCTTGAAACTGGAAGGTGGAGGTTGCACACCACTGCACTCTAGCCTGGGCAAAACAGAGAAACTCCATCTGAAAAAAGTAAAAATAAAAATGAAAGTAAAATAAAAATGAAAAATAAAATAAGAGGAAAAGGAAAATGTACAAAAGGATTTTCGATTTTCTCACTCGCTTCTAGGAAAAAAAAAAAAAAAAAGATCCAGCCCAGGCATGGAATAGGAGGGCTCCCAAAGCACCAAAACGTGTTTAACTAACCCCCCTACCACTTACCACTCACCCATCGGCCTGTGATTTAGTTGGTTGGTTTGGGTTTTATATTTCTTTTTTCTTTTCTTTTTTTTGACATGTAGTTTTCTATATAACATCTTTAATTGGTGACTTCCTGTGCTAAGAATGACCCAGAAGTGCATTTCTGCTCTCTGCTTCTCCCTTCCTCCTCACACTCCAGTTTAGGATTGCTGTGTCACAGGGAAGGAAGAGCTGCAACTGGAGCCTGACCCTCCTGGAACAGGGAGAGGCTGGCCTGTGTCACTGCCTCTGTCGCCCAGCCATCCAAACTTGGCAGGCTTTCTCAGGCCCTGCCATCAAAATAGCTCTGACTCCAGCCCCTACTCCCTTTCAGGCTGGGCCACAGGGAGCTGCTGGCTGGCCACTTGATACCCTCCCGCTAGAGCTGATGTCTGACCACAGGAAGGTTAGCACTTTATGTAGTTGAATTCCTTTCATCTCTGTCCTGTGGACCCCAGCCCACCATTCCCTCCAGGCCCAGACCATCATCAAGGCCCTGGCCACCTCGCCACTGATGAATATGGCCTTTTCTTTCTCTCATGCAGCCCCTTTTTCCCTGAGCCAGAGGTTGTGGATAGGGAGGTGGTTTGTGTGTGTGTGTGTGTGTGTGTGTGTGTGTGTGGTTTCCTGTCCATTTTTTAAGGATTACAAACCATGTGAAACTTCCTCTCCAGATGTGTTTCTGCCTTGCAGCAAGTGTTTATTAATGAGTGAGGCTGAGGAAAGGGCTGAGGGCATTAGCAGTTCTTTTGCAGGACACTGTGCATGGTGGGGTCACACCACTGTGGCTAAGCCCCAGACACTTCCAGAGAGAAACAGTGCAGAAGGAACTGGTTTCCAGACTGCAGAGGGAGCCGCACTTTTGTTTTTGACCCCCCTACCACCACCACCCCAAAAATAGGTTAGCTCTGAAGGGCAGAGGGAATACTCAAGCCTCTGATGCATCCCTGCACTTCGACCCTCTTGTTGTGTGACCTTAGCCAGTGGGGAGCTACTCACCTGAGCACCCTTGGGGGTGGGATTTTGGAGTCAGCATCTGTAGCACGAAGCCCTGAGCCTGGAATGGAGACTCTTTGGTCTTTTGGTTGTAGGTGCTGAGTACATCTGTGCCCCTGCCTAATTGAGAGCTTCTCAGTACTTCTTGCCATCCCCTCTCACTGCACTGACCCAACCTCACTGGACCTTAATACTGTGAGGAGTGGTGTCCTGGACAGGGACTCTGCACTCCCAGGTGATGTGTTTGGATCACAGAGGTGCATTTGCTCCCCTGCCTTTGCCAGAAGAAGGTTTGTTTCTCCAACCCTAGAAGGCAGGGCAAACATGGACAAGGACCAGGGGAGCAGTGTAACAAACTTTTTTTTTTTTTTTTTTTTTGGCAAGTGGGGCACTTGGCATCAAGGTCCCATCACCAGAAGGCACCAAAGCCCTTGCCACCCCCCGACTCCATCCTCCCCACCGACCTCAAGTGGGCAACTGCTGTGGCTGTGGATCCTGCCCAGGCAGGCCCTGCCAGCCTCCTCCCCCTGCAGTGGGCACCAGTTCTACTTCCCCCAGCAGACAATGCCCTGGTTTCTCAGCCAGCACTATCCGTTTTAGAAAGCTAAAAAGCTTAGGCCGGGCGTGGTGGCTCATGCCTATAATCCCAGCACTTTGGGAGGCCAAGGCGGGTGGATCACGAGGTCAAGAGATCGAGACCATCCTGGTCAATGAGGTGAAACCCCGTCTCTACTGAAAATACAATAATTAGCTGGGCATGGTGGTGCGCACCTGTAGTCCCAGCTACTCGGGAGGCTGAGGCAGGAGAATTGCTTGAACCCAGAAGGCGGAGGTTGCGGTGAGCCGAGATCGAGCTATTGCACTCCAGCCTGGGTAACAACAGCAAAACTTCATCTCAAAAAAAAAAAAAAAAAGCTTCATAGACCCATTCTTAGAGATACCTTCTGGATTTTCTTATGTTTATATTAATCAGAGCCTTCTAGAAGTCACAAAATATTCATTCCATGTTCATTTTCAGTATATAAAAAAAGAAATGCCAAATAAGATTTGAAAATATTGGGAATATTGGAAACCTTTAACTCTTAAAAAATACGCAGTGGTTGTATGTATAATACATACACATACATAATACTCCTTTAAACATAACATGAAAAGTCTGTTTAGAACCTTCATAAAATTGAGGCTGAAGCTAAATGGCCCTCACCAATATTAAAGATCTAAACTCTCTATCATGTAAAACAAACAACCATACTATACATACTGTTCTGCAACTTGCCTTTTTTTTAAAAAAAACTTAGAAGTGGGAAAATAGGCTGGGCACAGTGGCTCATGCCTGTAATCCCAAGTTTGGGAGGCCAAGGAGTGTGGATCACTTGAGCCAGGAGTTTGAGACCAGCCTGGCCAACATGGTTAAATCCCGTCTCAACTAAAAATACAAAAATTAGTTGGGCATGGTGGCAGGCACCTATAATTCCAGCTACTTGGGAGGCTGAGGCAGGAGAATAGCTTGAACTCAGGACGTGAAGGTTGCAGTGAGCTGAGATTGTCCCACTGCATGAAGCCTGGGCGACAGAGTGAGACTCTGTCTCAAAAAAAAAAAGTGGGAAAATATTTACAAACTTATAACATTTAGAACTGCATTATTTTTATTAATAATCACATACCATTTTAATGTTTTAATCATAATTTATTTAACTAAGCATTCCACTTTGGTGGACATTGGGTAGTTTTCATGTTTACTAAAAGCAGTGTTCCACGTGTGTGCATATATATGTGTGTGTATTTCACACTCGGTAGGTATTATCTCTGGCATAATTTTCCACTAGTGGGTTTAGGAAGAAAGGAAAGAAAGAAGGATATGAACTTGTGCTTCAGTCTGGTTGGACCAATTTATACTTGCATGGACAGTATTTCAGAAATCTACAGTGGGAGTAGAGGAGGTGAATACGATATTAATGTTTTAAATGGTATATCCTTACATACAAGTGAATCATCTTCAAAAACATTCATTAACCATTTTATTTTCTTCCGTGAATTCATCATACATGATTTTTGCTTCTTTTTTTTCTACTTCTCTTTTTAAATCAAATATATAATTTTATGTCATTAATTAGTAATTTATTTATTAGTGATAAAAACAATTACTATGTCAAATGATGTACTCAGTGATTACTATTTACAAGATAATTTTTAATCATTTTACTGAAACAAACTCATATTCATCACAACTTTGTGATTTTTTTTTTTAAATTGGTATTGTTAACGCACAAGTCTTAATTAATTGAAAATACCCTTTCTAAGGTACCTCAATTCTGCTTAGAGTTTGTATTAGAAATCTACAACGTTTCATTAATTCATTTAACAATAGTTATTGTTTGCTTACTCTTGCGCTGGGGTAAAATATGATCACTCAAATATAATCTCTGTCCTGTAGTTACAGGGAGAGTGGTCTAAGTCAAATATAGTTACTTAATAGCAGAAATTCCGTCCTCAAAGCTTCCCCTGGTCACCAGTTCTGAAGTGACTGACATGAAATGAGGTGGCTCCTGAGTCTCTGAAGAACGAATGTAAGGGGTAGTGGGTGACTCAGAGTGTAAGAAAAAATGAAATATACTTGCCCCACTCAAAGGAACAAATATCATTGTTTCATTCAGTATTGTGGAAAGTTCCCCTGATGGTAGTTTTGTGCTGACCGAAGGTATTTTTAATTTTGTGAAGAAACATGGGTAAGAGTAAAAAAAGCCCTTTCCAAAAAAGCTGAGAAGTAGGACATTTTATTGGGAGGAAAAAAGCACCAACATTCTTCAGGTAGAAAGGAAAACTTTCCCCTCCAAAATTCAGCACCAAATATCAAAAAGCACACAAACTCTTACCAGTGTAAGATCCATCCTCCCTCCCTCCCTTCCTTCCTTCCTTTGCCTGCCTTCCTTCCTTCCTTCTTCCTTCCTTTTCCTTCCTCTCCCTCTCTCCCTTCCTTCCCTCCTTCCTCCCTTGTTTCCTTCCTTCCTTCCTTTTTCTTTTTTTTGTGACAGGGTCTTATTCTGTTGCCCAGGCTGGAGTGCAATGGCAGAATCAGGGCTCACTGGCTCACTGTGGCCTCGAGGCCTCCTGGGCTCCCGCAATCCTCCGCCTCCACATCCTGAGTAGCTGGAACCACAGGTGCAGGCCACTACGCCCGGCTAATTTTTGCAATTTTTGTACAGATAGGGTTTCTCTATGATGCCCAGGCTGGTTTCGGAATTCTGAGCTCCAACAATCCACCCGTCTTGGCCTCCAAAGTGCTGGAATTACAAGCGTGAACCACCGCGCCCAGCCTGAGGCTTCTTTTCTTGTGGATCATTTTATAACTGAGGCTGTCAGAGCTGGAAGGGACGTTAGGGGTTTCTATTCTGCTTCCCAAGGTGGGGTTGGATGTAGCGAGGTAGCTTAGTTAAGAGACACAGTTAGGACCACGCAAGCTGACTCCCGCCCCAGGGGGTTGCCCGCGCACCCCCACAGGCCCTTCCCAGCGCGCGCAGCAGCTGGACTGAGCCAATCTTGTGCTAGACACAAAAAGCATTTCTTTCACTGACCTGGTCAAAGCCAGAGGAGCGCCATCGGGGCGCCTGCGCACCTTTAATTTTTGTTAAAACAAAACAAAATACGTTCTCACCTGCTGCCGATTGATCATAGCCTGATCAGTACCGACTCCTAGAGAGAGCGACAAAGGAGAAAGTAACAGGAGAAAGGAGGGCAGCTCCTGGCTCCCGGGCAAATTACAGAAGCCAATGAAAAGGAATCGCGAGTCAGGTTCCTGGTACGTCACAGAAAACAGGAGTGGAAGGTGAACGTTTAGATCAGGTCGGGAAACAAATCAACCCCTCGAATGCAGAACAAAGCGGCGGAAGGACCCGGCGAGGGGCCCAGTGTGTCTCTAGGGCAAGCAGGGCGGCCAGCTGGAGCCGGGTCCACAAGATAGCGGGTGATTTGTGTCTACCAACGAATGCCGGCACTGGTTCAACCTATTACTGAGTATTTGCCAGTAACTTCACTACTCTAAGTGACATCCGTTATTTTTATGGTGGTTGTGAAATGTGCCTTAATTAAGACACCTGACTCAGACTGTAGCTATGAGGATTCAACCAGGAAAAAAACGATTAGATCGTGTTGCTACAAGACTCACTGGGAGCACTACACAGAGGAAGAAATTCAATTTATCAGGGCTTCATGCGACGAGGTGGCCGAGTGGTTAAGGTGATGGACTGCTAATCCATTGTGCTCTGCACGCGTGGGTTCGAATCCCATCCTCGTCGGTAGTTCGGTGACCCTTTTGTTCCGGGAATCACAAATGATGTGGTAACCACTTTATTTGGCAAATTCATTCCCTAGTCACCAACCGTTTCGACAGTTCTCTCTAATCTTTCCCGTTCTCTGCTTCTTTAGTAACACTTGTCTTGTCTGTGAATGTAATTTGTTTGTCGATTTATGTTTCATTCTTACGCAAATTTTCATTCCTGCACAAGTTTGCTTAGTAGGATTCCCCACTGAGGAAAAATTGAAGATGTAATTGACGGCCAGAGAAAAACACCGCCCAAGAAATGCAAAGGTCCTTAGAAAATCATAAAGCGTGATTTTCACACACAACATTGTATATATTGAGCCGCATGGGTTACTTCAGGCATTTTCAGCCTGATTGTATATCTCTACTGAAATATTCATTTACTATCTCAATGCTAACGTTTAAAGCAACCATTATTGTCTACGGATCCCTGTCTTTGAAAAAGGCGGGAGAGTGTCGCTTAGAGATATAATAAAACTTACAGACATTCCATGGAACATTCCCAGTTAGGGCTGAGGCATTTCCCAGCTACTCCGGAGGCTGAGGCAGAAGAATTGCCTGAACCCAGGAGGTGGAGGTTGCAGTGAGCTGAGATCGCGCCGTTGCACTCCAGCCTGGGAAACAAGAGTGAAACTCCATCTCAAAACAAAACAAAACAAAACAAAAGAGAAAGTGATTGGGAATCCTGGATTCTTATAAACTCAGTGAACTTGGTTTATTGTAGATTTTCTGGGTAACTACTGGCAGTTTATAAATTGGACTTCATAAATATTCAATATTTAATGAATTTGTAGGGATTAATGGTGTTGAGCTTTGTGTGATTTGAGAATATGGCTCTTTTGATTTTTTTAATAGTGAATGACAATTTTAAAGTTTCTAAGTTAGAGATCTTAAGTTGGATCACTGGCTTCAAAGCATTATTAGCTTTTGACACCATGTGATGGCTCATGCCTGTACTCCCAACACTCTGGGAGGCCAAGGCAGTGGATCACCTGATATCAGGACTTCCAGACCAACCTGGCCAGCCTGGCTAAACCCTGTCTCTACTAAAAATACATAAATTAGCAAGGTGTTGTGGCACATGCCTGAAATCCAGCTACTCAGGAAGCTGAGGCAGGAGAATTGCTTGAACCCAGGACAGCAAGGTTGCAGTGAGCTGAGATGGCACCACTGCATTTCAGCCTGGGTGACAGAGTGAGACTCTGTCTCAAAAAAAAAAAAAAAAGCATTATTATGCTGACTAGATTGCTCTAGTTCGGTGGTTCTTACAAGTGTGGTCTCTGATGCCTATAAGCCCAGCACTTTGGGAGGCTGAGGCAGGTGGATCAGGAGGTCAGGAATTCGAGAGGAGCCTGGCCAACATGGTGAAACCCCATCTCTACTAAAAATACAAAAATTAGCAGAGTGTGGTGGCACCTGCCTGTAATCCCAGCTATTCAGGAGGCTGAGGCGAGAGAAGCATTTGAACCCAGGAGGTGGAGGTTTTGTGAGCTGAGATCAAGCCACTGCATTCTAGCCTGGGCAACAGAGCAAGACTCCATCTAGGGGGAAAAAAAAAAAAGGAAAGAAAGAAAAAAAAAAGTGTGGTCTCTGGAACAATAACATCATTATCACCTGGAAAAAAAAGCACTCTATGTCTGAGGTTCAGCAATTTGTGCTTTAACAAGCTCTGCAGGTGATTGATGCTAAAGTTTGACACCACTGCCCTAGTTTTGTTTTGTCTACACCTCCCCTTCTAAAACACGGTTGATCTAGATTCTGTCTGATTTGGTAAAATCAGATCTCTCTCAGGATCCGCTTTTCTCTCATCATTGCAACGTCGGCATCAGCGTCTATCCTGCCAGGATTAATCCCTCCAACCCCTGCACTGTCGGGGCCCACGGAGCAGTAATGCGGTAGTAAAGACACTAGCCAAAGACCACCCGGAACAAACCAAAATCAGATTCAACACATAGAAGAAGTGACAGGACACTCCGGAGCCACCGGGAAATGCAGTTCAACAGGAGGCTGAGAGAACCGTTTTTGTAAGGTTTGGGTTCCCACTGGAGGATTCCGAGGAGTCTAAGAGAAGCGGGACCAGTCCTGGGTCGCTTGGGGTTTCTGAGTAGCGGGGATTAGCTGGGGACAGCGTTTTCACGAGGAGAGCGTGCTCTTCGGTATCCCTAGGAATACCGAAGTACCAAGTACCCAGTACCGAAGATGGGTGTGGCAAAGCGAGTCTGAACTCGTAAAAAGGCAGCAGGTGCTCCAGGGGGGGACAGTGCGACATTTGGCAGCTGCTGCAGGATCTTGGAAAAAGCGTTTCCTGTTAACTGCCTCTGGCGTTACCGGTAACAGCGGGGCTGCGGGTGTGGTTTTTGGTTTTGTTTCTGTTTTTGTTTTTGTTTTTTGTTGTTATTTCAGTCAGAGCAGATTTCCTTTCTTTTCGTGGTGACAGGTTTTCACTTTTCCCAACGCTCAGGAAACCGTCCTCCGGCTCAGAGGGGTGGGAAGTTCCCGGAACGCAGTTGCTCCCCCGGCCTGAGGTCGGGTTGGCGGTGGAATTGCCAGGTAAGATACGGAGCACACAATTAAATTTTAATTTCAGATAAAGGAAGAACAAAATTTTGCATACGACTCTCGCAACGCTACTTGGTGACACCCCGCGTCCGCGAGCCGTGCCGGGCAAAGCAGAGGGAGGAGCACTTTCCGAGGCCAGAGAACGCTTCCCACGCTGCCTTTCCACCCGGGAACCCTAAGACAGGGTCCGTTTCTGGGGTCTCCAGGGCTCAGCCCAACCCGAGTCACAAAAAAGAGTAAATTAAATTACAATGTGAGAACTCTTTCGTTTTGAAACATAATGTTCTCATTCCTTGGAATTAAATATATCATTAAGCTGGAAAGGAGCTTTTCTCAGAAAAGGAGAGAAATGAGCAGTTACTGGAGAGGAAAACGCAAAACTAGACTCCCAGGTCTGGTTGAGTCCTAAACTCACACCCCCAGATCCCAAACGCTATAATAAATCCTTTTTTATATTTATTTAGGATTAGCTGCCTCCGAAATACCTGGTGTACTGAAATGAACGGGCTGCCTCGGAAAGAGTTTCTGGCGAACATGGAAGTTGCTTTGCTGTCTGCCACCAAGCATCGCTTGTCCGCATCACCTCAGGAGACGTTAGGAAGAGCCAGGTTTGGGCTGAGGGAAAAGAAACGAGCACAGGTCCCCACTTCTGTTCCTGGTAAGGAAGGGGCAACCAAAGGAACTGGCAGTCAGCTGTAAGGTCGCTGTCACACATTTCTGCTGGAGAGGGCAAATTCGCTTATCGTTTATCACAATTTAAAAGTAGATCTCAAAGTTCAAAGATAGACTCACGATATGAACGGATTTTCATCGAAGTTGCCAAGGTGATTCACCGAATCCTTTAGCGGGGAAAGGAAGGTCTTTTCAACAAATGGTGATGTAACAATTGGACAACAGCCATGCGCAAAAAAAAAAAAAAAAAAAAAAAAAAAGGATGAATCTCCGTCCTCAACCCACAATGTATTAAAAAATTAACTCTCAATGGCTCATAGACCAAAATAAAACCTAAAACTAAATCTACAACTCTAAGATTTCTAAAGGAAAACTTCAGAGAAAATCCTTATGACTTTGTTAGACAAGGATTTTAAAATAGGACACAAAAACATAAATCACAAAAGAAAAATTAATAATTTGACTGTCAGAAATTAATAATTTGACTTCTGTTCTTCGAAAGGTACTTTAATAGAAATGGACAAGTCTCAGACTCAGAGAAATCATATGTAAAGATTTTGCACAACAGGAAAACAATTCCATTCCCCAATAAAAATGGGGAAAACATTTGAATTACACTTCAACAGAAATGATATGCAGATAGCCAATAAGCACATCAAAAAAACCTCAATCTCATTAGTCATTAGGAAAATTGAAAACCATGCCTATTACATGCCTATTAGGAAAATTTAAAACTACATGCCTATTACAATGGCAGAACTTAAAAAAATTTTTTAAACCTGTTAATATTAAGTGTTGATGATGATATGGAACAATTGAAATTCTCATACTTCGCCAGTGAAAATGCAAAAATAGTATGGCCACTGGGAAAAACAGTTTGATAGGTTTTTTAAAAAAAATTAATTTAAGGATATTTTTACTTCATGACCCAACAATCCTCCTTCTAGATATTTACTCAAAAAATTGAAAACATGTCCAGCTGTAGACGAATGTTTATAGCAGTTTTATTTACAATTGCCATAACTGGAAACAATCCAAATGTCTATCACCCAGTGAATAGATAAGCATATTGTGATACGTGCATGCAATGGAATATTACTCAGCAGCATAAAGAACAAACCAGATACGTGCCTCATAAATGAGTCTCAAAAGCAATAAGCCAAGTGAAAGAAACTAGAAGCCAGACTTAACCGCTTATACGGTATGATTCTATTCCAGATTAGGCAAAAGATAAAGTAAAAACATCACATTAGTAATTGTTAGGCTGGGAGTGGAGGGAAAGGTTGACTAAGGAGAAGTGAGGGGCCGGGCGCGGTGGCTCAAGCCTGTAATCCCAGCACTTTGGGAGGCCGAGGCGGGTGGATCACGAGGTCAAGAGATTGAGACCATCCTGGTCAACGAGGTGAAACCCCGTCTCTACTAAAAATACAAAAAATTAGCTGGGCATGGTGGCGCGTGCCTGTAATTCCAGCTACTCAGGAGGCTGAGGCAGGAGAATTGCCTGAACCCAGGAGGCGGAGGTTGAGGTGAGACAAGATGGTGCCATTGCACTCCAGCCTGGGTTACAAGAGCGAAACTCCGTCTCAAAAAAAAAAAAAAGAGAAGTGAGGAAGAATGTTGGGGTCATGCTGGAAATGTATATCTTGTTATTCTAGAGATCTTTACATGACTATATGTGTTTGCCAAAACTCATCCAACTACATACAAAAAGGTAAATTGTACTATATGGAAATTAAACTTCAATAAAGTGACTTTTTAAAAAGTACATATCATCATTTGGCTATTCCACTTTTAAAACTCCATTCTACAGAAATATCTGCATAAATTCAACAAGGTATGCACAGAGCATGAAAGAATGTTCAAGGCAGCAGTCTTTGAAACAGAGGGTTGGTGCAAGTTTGGTGAAACAAATGACGATGTACCAACTTAATTCTGCTACAATATAACCAGTGGTGACTTCCTGTAACTGCTTTCACTGGCTGATCACTGCTATGGTGGTGGTAGCAATGCCTGTAACCACAAATGCACATAAAATTAAAAGATATTATTTTGTTCAGTATTCTGCAATATAATTGAAAAACCTGGTTGCAACGTATTTCTAGAAAATATACCAAAAAAACCTTTAGAAGAAATGGAAAATCACACATACCAATTACAACAGAACAAATAAAAGTTGACGACAGACTGCCCAACCTGAAAAAACATCAGACATAATAGCTTCCCAGATAAAATTTTAAAACCCATTATAAAACAGATCATTTAAATGCATTAAAAACAGTTCCAGAACATAAAAAGTGATGGGAATATTCTACTTTTTCAGAAACAATTATTTTTGTTGTTGTCAAGACAGAGTCTTGCTCTGTTGCCCAGGCTGGAGTGCAGTGGTGCGATCTTGGCTTACCACAACCTCCGTTTCCCGGGTTCGACCCATTCCCCTGCCTCAGCCTCCCTAGTAGCTGGAACTACAGGTGCATGCCACCATGCCCAGCTAATTTTTGAATTTTATTACAGACAGGGTTTCACTATGTTGGCCAAGCTGGTTTCGAACTCCTGACCTCGTGATCCACCCACCTCAGCCTCCCAAAGTGCTGGGATTATAGGTGTGAGCCACCGCACCCAGCTTTTCAGAAACAATTCTAACAATAATCTCAAAACTGAAGATAATTACCAATAGGAAAACCCCAGTTTTTATTCTTTCTTATGGGGAATCCTAAATAAAATGGGAGCAAACAGAATCCAGCATCACACTAAAGAAATCAATAATTCACAATTACGAAATGGAGATAAGCATAAGTATTGTTTACGAGCGACATCTTTAGACATAATTCACCATATTAGCATATGTGAGGAGAAAAAGCATGAAAGGGTTTAAGTAAATGCGGAAATGGCATTTTCTTGCATTAAGATCCATTTTTTTTGGTAATAATTCTGGAAACTTTTAATAAAAGAAGATCGCTCCTTACGATCTTCTTTTGGTCATCATCCTGCTTTTCAGGGAATACATTATATGCATTGTCTTTGAAATTAGCAACAAGTTAGAAAGATGTCTACTTTCATGACAAATATTTTGTAGTGTTCTGGGTTAGTGAGAATCATTTAAAAACATAATTTTAAAAAAGAAGGAGATAAAATGTGGGAATTTGAAAAGTTCCTCTTTAAAGTGTCCTTTCTTGCTAAAGAATAAGTCATAAATGTGCTAATCACTCTGTTAAGCCCTGTCCTATGTAGTGTTAAACATGCCAGGTGTACAGGCATGTAGTACAGTCTTTGTCCTCTTACTGTAACCAAATACCCATGCTGAATGTGCTCACAGGCATGTCCCAGCTCTCCATTGCTTTTACCTGTTTAAAAAAGTTTTCCGTTGTTTGCCAATCCGGTTTTAGTTTAAATTGTAAGGTCTAGCTCCAGCCAACAGAAATCAGACACAGCAGTAAGGATGAACCCAAATGCATAAGGGATAAATAGGTCTGCTTTCCCTCGTTTGTTGTACTCTTGTGGAAAAATGGCTAGTGAGAGTATCTTTCCTGCAGCCCAGGAAGTAAAAATTGGTGCTAAAAAATCCTTTGTCTCAGTGCTAATTTTTCTTGGCAGCACCAAGCATCTGTTTCCAATACAAAATTATCATTAGATTAGATATGTGCAACTATGCTAGGATTTATTTATAAAATTAAATGTGTTTACAGAAATAAATATATCACTTGCCTTCCTACCACAACACACAATAGAAGAAAAGACCCGTTTACAATAGCAACAAAGGAGATAAAATATTGACAAATAAATTTAGAAGGAAATCACAAGACTAATATAAAGAATACGTCATCAATTTTCTCTACAAGTTAGTCTACATATTTAATACGATGCCAATACAAATTAAAATAGAATTTTGTTTTCAAAACAAAACGCTTGATTGAATATAAACCCTTCATCGTATTCCTCCTTCACTAAAGAAAGAAACTCACGATTCTGCTGCTGCCCTGGCTCCAGGATTACCTCAATGCCCCTTCCCACCTCCAGAGAGAAGCAGAGAATCTACAGTTTGCTGCATTGAGGAAAATACATCATTCTGGACCAACAGTTTATATTTTTTCACAAACAATCTAAAGTTTATATGGAAAATAACATTAGTAGCCAAGAAAATTAAGAAAAGAATAATAAGGAAAACATACACCTTTTTGGGTATTTAGACATATTTTAAGCTACAGCAAATAAAACATCTTAATACAAATAGAATAGAAAGTCCAGAAGCAGGCACAAGTATTTAGGCATTTGATAAAGTTGACATTTCAAAGCAGTGGAGAAAAGATGAGTTAGGCTATAAAAGTTACCGTAACATCTAGATAGATATCTGATGAAAATAGAGCATAATCCACAACTCACATCTCACAATCGGGGGTTCAAAATTTAAATAAAAAAAAGAAAAGCCCACAGAAGCACTAAAAAAAAATAAATAAATAAGTAAAAAGAAAGTATTTTTAAAAATAGTTTTGGCACAGGCCGGGCGCGGTGGCTCAAGCCTGTAATCCCAGCACTTTGGAAGGCCGAGGAGGGTGGATCACGAGGTCAAGAGATCAAGACCATCCTGGTCAACATGGTGAAACCCCGTCTCTACTAAAAATACAAAGATTAGCTGGCCACGGTGGCGCATGCCTGTAATCCCAGCTACTCAGGAGGCTGAGGCAGGAGAATTGCCTGAACCCAGGAGGCGGAGGTTGCAGTGAGCTGAGATCGCGCCATTGCACTCCAGCCTGGGTAACAAGAGCGAAACTCCGTCTCAAAAAAAAAAAAAGAAAGAAAAGAAAAAAGAAAAAAGGAAAGACAGAAAGAAAGAAAAGATCGCTGAAGTCCATCAACTCTAGGCTCCAGCTCGTTATGAAAAGTGGAAAGTACGTGCTGGGGTACAAGTGAACTCTGAAAACGATCAGACAAGACAAAGCGAAATTGATCATTCTCGCTAACAACTGCCCAGCTTTAAGGAAGTCCAAAATAGAGTACTACACAATGCTGACCAAAATTGGTGCCCGTCACTACAGCAGCAATAATATTGAAGTGGACACAGGATGCGGAAAATACCACCGAGAATGCACACCGGCTACCGTTGGTCCAGGTGATGCTGATGTCGTTAGAGGCGTGCCAGCACAGACTGGTGAAAAGTAATCCATGCAAAAATTTCCTTTAATAAAACTTGCCAGAGCTTGTTGTTTTTTTTAATGTTAATACTACAATAA